CACATAAAAGAGTAGTCTGTGGATTCAAACCTAGTTTCCCGACAAATGGGTGAATTCTTACAAATGTAAATGCCCAGGCCAAGCATGTGACTATTGGAGTCTTTACGAATTAAAGGAAGATAACCATCAACACTAAGATCACAAGATGAGATAGCTGAACTCAAATTACTCTCATTTTTAAATTTGTTAAAGAACTTGATTTGAAACACAGATAGTACTTAGTATACTGCTTAATAGCCCAAGTGATTGCCTCATTACTATTAGTAAACCCTAAGCTGTAACAAAGGGTTCCATTTTGGCTTTGGCAATGCAAACCAAAAGTACAAACAGAGACACCATCCATGCGCAACATAGCACTGTTAATATTTTGATATTTTTCAGCTGTTGATGGAATCAGCCTCTCTGAGAGCTACCACAGAGTTTGGGAAACCTGACTACAAGCCGGCCTCAGAACCATAAAACTGAGTTTTAAAGCTGTACCCTTATTAGGAGATAATAGAATGAGTTGCCTAGTCATAAAAACAGAGACACAAGCAAAACCCATGCATGGAGTCAAAAAGATCCAGCATTCAACACCCTAAACCGAAAACAATATATTAAAAATACATCTGCGTCAGCCTAATAGATGAAGAAGGGGTGTGATGCTGGTCAACAGATCTGTTTACCCCTTAAGTCTTTGCCTAGGAGGCCTTCTACAAGACAGCAGCTAGATACACTTAACATCTGCCCAAGATGATTATTTTTATCGAGACACCATCTCTAGCCTTTACTCAACCAAGAGCACCAAGGCAGAAGGTGTTTTATGTCGAAGTTGGCATCTCCTAGCCTTTGCCTAAAAAGGTGTATACTACAAGGCAGCAGAACATGAACCAGATCGTACACTAAAAGTTGAGAAAAATATCTGGAATTCTGGAAATATGTAAAAAAAGATAATCCCTAAGTTTAATAAAATTTACCTATTATTTAATTTTTTTGAACTACTTCTTGACATTTTTTATAGCATTAAAATATTCATAAATATAGATATATATTATAGACAAATATAATATACATAGCTATAAATGTATATCGCCAATGGGGTTTGATGATAATAAACACTTTTTAAACAATTTTGCATCATATAAGAAAACTGTTAGATTAATCGGTACTTTTTTTTTAACAGAACATTATACTATCCAGCTTCCAGGAATGGCTCTAGGTCTGATTAATACTATACACTAAATAACTTAATTTTCTTGTTTTATACAAGGATATTTGTATTTTTAAAATGGGGTAAAAATGAACAGCTGATTCAGGGTGACATTAATCATCACTATCTTTTTAGTTCACAAATGGCTCACACATACTGCATATAAAGTCAATTTTTTCAATATCAAGCTCATATTAATCCTTTTTTTTTTGTAGATGAGGCCACAACACTTGAGGTGAAATGGTTTGCTGGATTTGTAGCATCAAATCTACATGTTTACTTTTAACTCCATCCATTTTTTGTAACAGAAAGCATAGTACCAATATCTTTGTTTTTGTTGAACTTGATGGCATTGACTCATCTAAACAAAGAACTCTTTTTCCTGGTTCAACTTTTGTACCATGTGTTTTTTGTTTTGCAAGTGGATCTGTGCCTAAGCCTAGATAGTTCTTAAGAATATCTAAAACGGATTTGTTTAGAACCATTATGGTATCTTCATCACCAAAGTCTTTTTTTTTTTTTCTAGAAGATATATAAACCTTGTGGTTGCAAAGTGTTAACTTATTTATAAGTATAGGCATGTGTTCTTTTGGAATACCCCCTTTGATACGACTTTCTATTCTTTACTTTGAAATAATACTTCTCCACAACTGTTTTAATCCTCTAAATACAGCAACATCTAGTGGTTGGCAGAGATGGGTTGCATATGAAGGCATTGTTATAAACTTGATATCATGTTGAAATATGGTTTCAATATCAACAGCAAATCAATATCAACAGCAACAGGCAAGAAAAGCTCCATAAACTATCCCTTAAATGTTCTACCATCAAACCACTCGTTATTGGTGATATCGCATACAGTTCTAGGTGGTCTTCTTGAGTCCAACCCTGGTAAAGATTCTTTGATTTGTAAACAACTATAGGCGGCAAAAATTCTCTGACTGTTACCAGAAAATATTATACTAGTTGACTGCTTTGAATATTCCTATTTGTTTTTAACACAGTGCCCATGGGCACAACAAACAATAACAGTTTTGGACCCTGGATTATCTGTTATATTGGTTTCATCATAGTTATAGATGTTTTCTAGAGTTATATCCTTTAACTCTTGGAATAAATTATTAAAATAACTGCTAAGGGTTACTTTATTGACTAAAGTCCTTCTATGTTTTACATTGTCAGCAACCTTTTTCAACAAACAATGCCTTTTCATGAAAGGCTGGACCCAATCTACACTAGGCATTTTATTTTTGAATTAAAAGTCAGTTATCTTCTTTTTATCACAATGACATTTAACTAAAAGTCAAATGCTCAAAGAATCAAGATGACCCTCTGTCATATAAGTAATTGTTTGAATAAATAAACTTTTTGTTGAACTATCAAGTCTGGTTTATCCACCATGTATTTTTGGAACTTGATCCCCAAGTTTTACGTTTTTATGCAGAGTTACTAACGGAATGTTATAAATTTTACCTGCTTTCCTGATAGCAAATCTATGGTTTTTCACTTTATTTACTGCTGTTTCTAAAACTTTTTAAGCGTAATTTATTTTGCAACCTCTATTTACCTCTGCTTTTTTCTGTTCGTTTGTTATTTCAAGACATAGTTCCTAAAATTAGCAAAAAACTTAATTAAAAATGTCATTTTTAAATGAGCAAATAATTATACACAGACAAGCTACGGCCTCAATTTGATGTGTAGTTTTTATAGTATTATGATACACGCTGTAATATTTTAACTATCATGAACTAAGTAATTGATGTCAATTTCCATCATTTGAAATAATACAGTTAAATGAACCGGAATTATTTAATTATAAAAAATGAATATGCTATATAATCCATTTTGTAGTTCTTAAATTGTGTTTAACTTTATATTTGATAAAAGCCAAAATATTTAAGATTTTTTTATTACGGTTTCACAAAATTTTTAGTTAAACACAATTTAAGAACTACAAAATGGATTATATAACATGTTAACCTTCAATAAAATAGCAGTTAAAGAATATAACAAAGAAAACTATAATGCAATAATATCTATGGTCATAGCAGCAATCGACTCACCTGATAGACTAATTAATATTGCGATAAGCAAACAATAATACAGGCACTAATAGATACTGACTCTGATAAAATATCTATTACATCAGAACTTCTTCAATATTGGAACCTTTCATACAGTACTCTATCTACCTCGAAGGTATCATTGGCAGAAAATTCATCATTAAAAGTTAAAGGAATCTTTCATAGCTCATTGTTATTAGCTTGCAAAAAATTGAACGGGCAATTCCTCATAGTGGACAATTTGGTAGCACCTGTAATTATCGGAATAGACATCTTAACACAACATACTTCAATTACTATCCATTTTAATAGAAAAAAAGTGCCCTTTAAATTCTGTCTAGTGACAAAAAGCATGAAATGTATAAGTTTATTATTATGCATTAATAAAGTTGTACACGCATTAATACCTGGAGTTGATATTGACAAAATTAAATCGATCACTAGTACATCATGACAGGTTCCCATAAATAACTACAATTGATCTCCAATTGGCTTATATCAGGTGAAATTACGATCTGAGGATTATAAGCTAACCGCAATCGAAGCTAATGGCAGATTATACGAGTTTAAATGCTTACCTTTTGGTTGCACAAATGCTATACCAATTTTTTAGCGGGTTTTAGTGAATTTATTGAGACTAAAAAACTGAAAAACACATATGCTTATCTCGACAATTTAATTATTGGTAGAAAAGATGCCCAAGAGCACAATAACAATTTTAGCACTTCCTATACACACCTAAAATTGCCAACATAAAAATAAACAAAGACAAGAGACAATTTAAAAAAACTCATATTGAATTCTTAGGCCATATAACTGAAAATGGAATCTTGAAAATTATCCATGAAGGTATGAAGGTCTTATAAATATGACAGATCCAAAAACCCTAAAAGAACTAACTGAATGATAGGTTTGTTTGCCTATTCTGCAAAATGGATAAACAACTGTAATGAGTTGGCTCTACCACTTACTCAAGCAAGAGACAATTTTTCAACTAGAGGCCTGATGTCAATTTTTCAACTAGAGGCCAAATGTCAAAGAAGCAATTAAAGTTGCTATTAAAGTTGCTGATCAATACCTCCTGAAAAGATGTCAGTGTGAATATTTAATTTAATTTATTGGGAATTAGCACCATAACAGTAAGAATACTGTATTACTTTTTTACTTATGTTGTTTTTTAACATGGAAAAGTTTTTCTTTTTTTTTTCTTCAATTTTTGATGACACAGGCTGCTGATCAGTAATTAGTATGAAATGATGTCTAGTTAGATGTCTCCAATGTCTTAAATTTACCCAGCTAGTTGTCTCCAATGCCTGAGCTCTTTTAATGCTGTGCATGTTTTTTCAATAAAAGAGTAACCACCTTTTTATTGAGATAGCAATAACCAATTTTTGAAACATTTTTGAAAAAAAGTGACAGGGCAACTGTTTTTACTTTAACAGAAGTTATAATATGAAATTTTATCACGTATTCATTTTGTAATGCAAAATGTATGCATTATTTGGCAAAAACATTCATTCATTGGAAAGTAGTAGAAGTAACTAGTGCACAGCATTTTCCCTTCTGTAGGTTGAAATATTAGTTCTCCAACTAAAACTTCAACTAAAGTGCTGAGACCAAGCAATTATCTTGATGTGAACATGCTAATGTATACCTGCATTAGAAGTTTTGAATTATGGAAATTAGCAGAACATATTTTACATATTTACATACTTTTTTGAAATTAGAAATCAGAGCAGCAAAATTACCTCATTCCACTTATATGCACGTCTATCTTGTAATTGAAGGCAATACAGGTTCACGACTAAAACACAAAACAACTTGGAAAAAGCAACACAATAAAATCATAGAAAAAAAAACAATTGATAAAAAATCAAAAATTTTAATGAAAATTAGGAGTTGATAATTTTCAATAACAATTAGGGGTCCTAATTGTCATTAAAATTATGACAACCAGTAAACCTAATTAATTGTATAATTAATTGTTAAAAAATTTAAAATTGTGGCATTTTTCACTTTTGCGTTTTGCATAAATGTCAAACATAATCTTCTCAACTTTTAAACATAAATTTTCTAAACTGACACATTTACAAGAATGAATTATTTCTGAGAATATCAACAAAAGAACAGGAAGACAATAGCTCAGTAATAGCACTTTAACTAAAATGATGGGTGGAGAACCAAGACTATGCTCATAAAAAATTACAAACCCACTTTGGCTATAAAGTTGCAAAATTGCTATCTTTGGGAGAAAAAAGATAAACAAATAATCTTAAATTAAAAAAAAAAAAATTTAACTTGTAATATAAGCTGAAAAAATAAAAAAATTTCTCACTAGAATAATATTATATCGCTGATAGAATAATATTAATTGAAAGTATCACTGAAAGAATCAGTTAGTATGTCAGTGACGGATTCAGGGTTTTTTGGTGGGGAGGATGTTGAAATATTTTAGTATTTTGTATAACATTGTCGTCTCTATATTAAAGAGATTTTAGGACTTTCAAATTCTGGAGGGCATACCCTCCACCCACCCTACACCCAACCTCCTGGATCCGTCACTGTAGTATCTGTATCACGATTGTATCAGATACTACCAGTGATAATAATTAGATGATAGTAACAGCAATACAGGCAAAAAAAAATATATTATTTTACCCTTAACTAACATTTATTCAATTTTTTCCATTAAAATTGGTAATATAACTTATTATATTTCAACATATACTTTTTGAGAATCTTGTTCTCTGATTTCCCATCTCAATTATTTCTCTAAGAACATTTCCGCCAACAGATAAGCCTCCGATAATTAATTAAAATTTGGGTTTTAATTTATGCGCGGAATTAAACGTCGTAGTTATTGATCCAAACCCGGGTCCCAACATCAAATACCTTCAAAATGCGGTATTTTTTAACACCCAATATTTATGATATGTGTAGGGAACATTCAATGCAAGATATCTAAGCATGCAACTTTGATAGACCATCAGTGCCGTGGCAAGTAGGTCTCCCCCCCCAAAAAAAAAACAAAACAAAACAAGTAATTTGAGCCCTAATTTTTTTATTTATTCTTTCTAAAAAAGTGGATAAAATTTACAGACTGCCCCAAAAAGCATGGTACCTGAAATATTTTAACGTCGCCGTTCATAAGACTAAAAACGATCAAATTAATTCTTAAATTCAATTAAATATATTTTATAATTGTTAAATTGATAAAGAGTTTACTAGTAAAAAGTTTTTTTACATACAGTTAATGTATTACGCAGATAATACAAGTACGTCGCAAACTATTTAAAAAAAGGGTTTGCGACTATTTTCATGCTTGCAAACTCATTTATTATACCTTCATAACTTAATTTCCTTGCAACCTCGATTTCAATCGACAGCGTTGTTAAAGAAGACAAACGTTCATCCACCATTGCTGACCTATTTAAAGCTACAAAGAAATATAACTACATGTATTTATGTCTGATGAAGCAAGATTATTTATACTAACCTATGAAAAGTTTTTATTAGTTTTAACTTGCTAAAGCTACGTTCTACACTTGCAACAGTAACTGATAAAGTAAGAATGGTTCGTAATGCAACAACTAGATTGGGATAAGTTTCTTGCAGCTCTTTTTTGAGGCATTTTTTTCCACCTTATTAACTATGACAAATCGTTTTAACTCCATTTCTAAATCCTCAAAGTCTATATCACCAAGCTTCATTTACAAACTTTTCCGATTTTCATTACAGGCTTTGATAAGACTTTCAGATTGGTAAAGAAAGTCTTTAAGATTTGTGACAATGCTGATCTGTTCAAAACGCTTTTTTACTGATGCAATTGACATATCAATTAATGGGAAAAAAAAAAAAAAGCTTTATACTGATATTCAGGTTGCCAAGTGTGATCAACACACTCGTATGAATAAATTGAGATTTTTTTTTTGTAAACGTACTATTGGTAAAACCTTTTCAATGCCCAATACTTCTGCGATTTCTGATGCCTTAATACGTGCGTCGGAAAATCCATTTTTGCGATACTCATAAAGAAATGCATTTGTTGCCTTTATTTCACTTGCTATTGTGTCGAGAAAGGTTGCAGAAAATTGAAGAAGCTTACTTGATTTGTTGATTTGAAATAAAACATCATACCAAGTAATGATTGATAATAAAAAAGGCCGTGTGTTAATATATTCCGTGAGCGATCGTACTTTTGTGGCTGTAGTCCTATCTTTCTTTTAAGCCATGTTCTTCCAAACTTTTGAGTGCCTCTAAGATTTCTTTTAAATAACAGTTAAGTGGTTTAACACAGTTTATTCTACTTTCCTATCTGGTATCTGATTGTGGTTAGACAGAAATAGCCACGCACAATTTCAAAATTTCCCATCGAGGAGGAGAAAATGAAAAGAGTGTATATAACCTTGAAAGAACACCTAAAAACAAAACTGCACTGATAGATGACCAATGCTCATTTGTTCTTTATGCAAAATGCATGGCGTACATTCTAAAATAATCAAATAATTATTTGCTTTTTTTACCTAAGACAGGTTTTTGGATTCAATCTCCTCCTAAAACCTTGTTCTGTGTGTCATTGCTCAAATAGTGCTCCTTGGATTCTTTGTCCTAAATTCTTTGCATAAGCTCATTGAGAACGGAATCCGTACTTAGCCAGTAATTCAAACACCCCAAGAAAGTTTTCATTTCTCTCTAAACCAATGGCTGTGTCTGAACCACGGAATTTAAGATTTCTTACAGAAAAAAATAAGGTAATGTCCAGTATCCTTTCTAACACTGCACAGCATAAACAGCAACTTTTGTTGTTGCTTGTCTATGGTAGCTTGATTTGCAATGCTTGCATTACCAAAATTGAGGGAAAAAATTAATTAGGAAAAAAAAGTAACAAAGTAATAAATTAAAGAAATATGAGTTAACCTTTTCGTTAAGTCATCCAGTGTTCAAAGTACTTAAAATGTGCACATCATATTTCGTGTTCTTTAAGTTTTTTTGATAAGCCTTCCCAAGTGTTCATTATTTGTCGGATTAGTGAAGAAGTTATCCCAAAAAATTTGCAACAAAAAAAAAAAACTTTATTGCTATTCAAAGAATATACGAGCCATGTCCGTTCAAAGATTTCACCTTGCTGTTATTATAATTCAGTGAAAATCGTCTTCTTTCTAAATTGTCTGGAAAATTAATTTCAATTTTTTTAAAACCACGTTTAACAATGTCACGCCTCTGTGCGTCAGAAACATCATCAGGCAACTCAGAAGGATCATCGTTGAGAAAAATAGATGGAGTTGTTATGCCATTTGATGTAGACTCACATAACCTATCTAACTCTACTATTCAAATAATGACAATCAGAATTATTTGTAGTTTCTGTTGGTGTCGAAACACTTCCAGGCTAAACTGCTGGTTTCAAAAAATGTGTTAGTTTGGGGTATTTTGTGATTTCCTCCCTAGCTGCAGCTTTTTCTATTCTCTTAGTCGCACTAATTTTCACTTTTTTCATACAAATATTTATATTGTGAAAAACTAACGAAAGATAAATATAAATTTTTGCAAACCTTTTTTCATTGTTTGTTTTTTATGATACAAAAAACTAACAACGCATAACAATAATAAAAAAAAATCTAATCGAAATTGCAAAATAAAAATAATAAATTTATAAGGCTTACGTTTGATAATATAATTCGGACCTCGGGAGTGTTAATTCTTTTTTTTTTTTTTTTTTTTGCATTAGAAATGTAATTGTTTTTTTTACGCTTGTACAAATTAGGTAATATTGTGACTAAAAGGCCAAGTTTTATTATTAATAGTAACAGTAACTATATATATTTAAATATTTTTATTATAAAAAATACAACATTTTTTTTTTAATTTTTGAAAAGTGCCTCTAAAAATGTTGGGCCTCCCCCAATTGGGGGGTGTGGGGGAGTTTAGCCACGGCTCTGTAGACCATACTTTAAGTCATCATCAGATTGTAAAAGCGTCTGAGAAAGACGAAAAATGTATTCATTTATTTTATTTGAGAAAACTTGGCACCAAACACTGATCAACATTGACTTGAATTTGTTAAAGAAAAAGCACTAAAAGCCTTTCCACGCATAACAGTCGATTCAATGATATGATTAACCATGTGATATTATCCATTAAGGTAGTAGGTAACAAATTTTTTTACCCTCATAACATTGCTTATTAAAATAAACAATTAAATAAATTAATTGATTAAAAAGTTGTTGATTCATTTAAGTCAAGTTTCAGCGATTGCTAGGTTAACCCAAACCAATATAGTTTCTATTGTTATTAAACAACATTCAAAAACAAAAAATAAAACATTTATTCAAAAATGGAAAACCTTCACCACAATTGTGCAACGATACGGAAAGAAGAATACAAAAGCAATACAATCAAACCAAAATTGATCTGTGGTTCTTTTAATAAATGTAAAAGTTTTCATCCTTATGCTAAAAAGGTACAAAGTGCGCTCTCAAAGTTGCAAACAACAATTAAAAAACCAATTATACCATAAATAACTGCATCAGTGTATAAGGATTTTACTTACCGTCTATTATTTTTACAGCCTTTATTGATAAATTAAGAAGATACTTATATCAATTATGATAAAAAGAGTCCAACTGGCACAGTATTACAAGATTTAGAATGGATGAGGAAATCAAAATTTATTGAATGGTTGAAATTGCTATTCATCCCAGCAGTTAAATTTGCAAAGAAAACGTTCTTGTATTAGATGGTCACAGCACTCACGCGTCTTCAAAAAATGATTGGAAAAAGATTGGTAAAAGTTTCATCTATGGATGAAAACGAAATAAAAAAAATGTAGACTTGGCGGTTTCAATATTAAGTATTAGATACCCAGCCGGCATTTGGTTCTAAAAAGACGTCTTTTGAACGTTTAAAAGAGGTTTTTTGGGACCAAATGCCGGCTGGGTAGCTTTATTTTTCTTTTTATTAATTTTCATATATAAATTGGTTTTCTCCTTCTTTTTTATTGTTTTCTTATAGATTATAACGATGACCGACTTTAGTTAAAAATATATATATATAAATCCGGTCAAATACAGCGTCTTGTAAAACTTATTTAAAGAAATTAATAATAGTTAAAACTGGTTTTTATTTACAAATTATTATAAAAAATAAAATTTTTTAAAAAATATCCCATTAAAAAAAAAAGTTTTCCATTAAAATACATGTTAAACTATTTTAATGTTGACTAAAATTAAAATGAATTACTCTACTAATTATAGAATCAAAATTAAATAATTAGAGGTTAGAAATTTCGTTTCTAAAGTTTTCTTAAAAGCAAAACATCAACATAGTTGTGGAACAAAACAGTAACTTCTGACTACCACTCATCTCATGCTAATAACTTTTGACATCAAATCGAAAAACTCTGCGGGGCATTTTTATTAAAACCATTATTAAATATATGAACCTTATATAATTTAGCAGAGAAATAAAGAAAAATAAAGATTATTATTGCTATTGTAATAAACAATAGTAAAAATTTTAGTTATTGAGTTACACGAGAAAAAAAAGCCACACATTAGCTCTAAACTCGTAAAACGAAAATTGCATAAAAGTTATTTAAAACACCTTCATTGGTTTTTTTTCCAGAGTAAAAGCTTGTTTTTCAAAATGTGATGGGTGGTGAATTAAAATTAAAGTTATTAAATTTATGGCCTTGATATGGCATTTTAATATTATTTTACAATTTAGCATGTTTGCTAAATAAAAAACTTACAGAAGGGTAATTTCAAAATATGTAACAATACAAAGAATTTATAAAACTATAACC